ATATAGAATACAGTTACAATTTTTTTTAATGTCCTAGTTTACTAATTCTATAATTTCTGTGACTCTTTCAAGTTTGGATTGTTTTAAAAGGTCACCTCTGCATTTTGAGATGGACTTAGAAGTAAAAAGTTCAAGAAAAGGAATTCTTGTTTTCCTTCCTGCTCCTTTTTTAAAGAAAAAAAAATTTTTTTTAAAGGTTTATTTATTTATTTGACAAACAGACATCACAAGTAGGCAGAGAGGCAGGCAGAGAGAAGGGGAAGCAGGCTCCCCACCAAGCAGAGAGCCTGATGTGGGGCTCAACCCCAGGACCCTGAGATCATGACCTGAGCCAAAGGCAGAGGCTTAACCCACTGAGCCACCCAGGAGCCCCAAAGAAAAATTTTATTTATTTATTTGAGAGACAGGGAGAGAGCATGAGTGGGGCAAACTACGAAGGGAGAGAGATAAGCAGACACCCCACTGAGCAGGGAGCCTGATTTGATGAGGCGGATCAATCCCAGGACTCCAGGGTCATGACCTGAGCTGAAGGCAGATGCTTAACCAACTGAACCACCCAGGTGCCCCTCTGTTACCCTTTCAATTGATTGATTTTTCTCCTTTTATGGGCTATTTTTCCCTACGTGTTTTTTTGTTTGTTTGTTTGTTTTTTGTATGCCTGATCATTTTTGATTGGATGCCAGAATTTTGTGAATTTTATCTTGTTGGATATTTCTGATTTTCTATAATGCTGTTGTACTGGTTTTGGGACACTTTGTTCTTGGAAATGGTTTGATTCTTTTGGTGCTGGCTTTTAAGATTTATTTGGTAGGACCAGAACAGTATTTACTCTATGATCATTTTTACCCCACTCCTAAGACAAGACCTATTGAATCATGAATTATGAGGTTTCTGATCTGAGTGCCAAGATCAGGTCCTATTCCTGGTCCTATATAATCACTGGGTATCTTTCCACTCTGATTTGTGGGAACAGAACTATTCCCTGCACTGTGCAAGCTTTGGTGATTGTTCTCGCCCTCTGTCTGGGTGGCTTTTTCCCTGGCCACGGGTAGCTTCCTCACACTCACACACTTAATCAGCTGAAGATGAACAAGGCCTTCTGTAGGTCTCCAGAGCTCCTCTTTCACTGTAGAGTTCTCTTCTCTCCGGCACTCAACCCCCAGCTCCCACTGTTTAGCCTTTCCCAGTCTCCCAGTTCTATTTCCTCAACGCAGGGTGTCTGTTTAGGTCTTCCTTGATTCCCCTCTCTGCACTGCTTCCTGGCCACTCTCTCAGGCGGTAAACAGAGGCAATCAGAGTGCTCACCTCATTCATTTGCTCTCCCTTATGAACCACTGTTCTGCATTTCTGCCTATTTATTTACTTTATTTAGTTGTTTTAGTAAGAGAGTAAATTCAGTCAATGTTGTGCCATCTTGGCTGGCTAGACTGGATTACTATAAATGATTGTTATTCTGTTGATAAAACAGATTGCTGTGTCAACTGTTTCCAGAACAGTTCCCATTAGGTAACCTGAAACATCTTGCACAGCAATCCACATCTCCTGCAAGTACAGTACATCCTTGTGCAATGTGTGTTACAGAAGAGTTGCCTACAAATAAGGTCTGTGTAAGATAATCTGATTTTTCCCTCTGCCTTCCATTTGCATTCCTGCAGTGCTCCCTCTACATCATTTCTCATCACTTTTTCTTTAGCTATGACTTCAAACTCTGAGACTTTCCTTTCCCCCCCCCCCTTTTTTTCTTTTTCGTTAGGGACCAGTAATCTATACACAAAATGTCATGATGTTGGGGGATTAGAATTCATTGCATTCTTGTCAACACAGTCTTTGAGTACTCAGTGCTTAACTCAGAGTTAAGATCTATGTGGGGTAGAATAGAGGCAGGCTTCAGCTTCAAACCAGCTTAGTCTTTTTTTCCCCCCATATGAATAGCTACTTCTACAGTTTTGGATTGTTTTAAAAGGCCACCTCTGCATTTTGAGATGGACTTAGAAGTAGAAAGTTCAAGAAAAGGAATTCTTGTTTTCCTTCCTGCTCCTCAGGTTCAACAATATTTACTGAGTGTTTATTACAACAGTGCTATTGTATTAGCTAAGAGACTGAGACAAGTCACTGACATTGATGATTTCATAACGTTATAGAAGAATGACATATATTGATAAAGACTCAAGGTGTGGCACTGCAGTAAACCTGTGAGATTTCACAGAAGGGTGTGATTACTGAGGGCTGGAGAGATTAGGGTAGGTAGGCTTGGAGACCTAGTTCAGGAGGGAACTATGGAATTTAGGAAAATGTGGTGTGAGCACAATTAGGAGTATGGGAGCCCATGGTTTGAGGAGGGACAACCAGAAAGGCTGGAGTAGGAGCTTCTATTGGAGAACAGTGGGGGAAGTAGAGGAGGTCTTATATGCCAGGCTTGGGCATTTGGGCTGTGAGAGCTCTGGATGGTTTTTGATGGGAGGACATGGAAGGTTATGTTTCCAGGAGAGGGTTAGGGTTAATGTGTGCAGAGCTGATGAAGACTGGTGGCTGGGGTGTGAGATCAGGGACTATATTATGACTTAATCATCTTTGTACTCCCATTTGCTGGTTCAAATTTAATGCTTGTTGCTAAGGTGTGTGTAAAAGGTGATCCTTTGCTTCCAAATTACTAATATTCTTGATAATCACTGGCCTTGTCAATGGCATGACGAATATTGTGAAAGAGCTTTGTGCCCCATGAAGAATTAAAGGTAGGCAAATTTGGACTCAGGCTTTCAAGCCTCGTTTCTCTTTCAACTCATTCTGTTCCAAGGCACTCAGCCATTGTTACAGAAATTACACAACAGGGTCGCTCCCCATCCCCACCTCCCCCAACCCTAAAAATTTCGGCATATTCTTACAAATCTCCTAAGACAGACCACACATGCACACGGGAACCAAAGAGCCCAAGCGAACACTCCCAAAAGAGCCTGAGGCCGGAACAGGCTTCCAGATGGGCAGAATCGACACAATGTAGCCCGAGGCGCGCGTGCACGAGCGCGCAGCGTGCGCGCGCACAACACCTTCACGTGACTCAGTACCGAGGCAGAGTAACCGATTAGGCACTCACTCTCCATTATTGGCTCCACCGGGCCCTGGCGTGCGCAGGTTCCACGCCGATCCGCACGCGGAGCCTGGGAGACGCCCCCCCCCCCCCATTCCGGCGCCCACGGACTCGCCGAGCCTCCGCTCACTGGAGGGCGCCGGTTGCGTCATCGGGACGCGACATTGCAGCAGCACCGGCGGAGACTTGAAGTGCCGGCGGCTGCAGGAGCGGAAGCCGGAGCTGGCGGAGCTGCCGGGTGCAGACCGCGAGGGCGAGAGCGGCTGCGGGACGCTGCTCGGGCCCAGAGCGCCGCGACAGGTGCGTCGTCGCCCTCTCCGCTGGACCCGGCGCCACGCCAGCAGGTTGTCCATCTCCCCGGAGCTGCAGGACCCCCCCCCGAGAAATGGGCCCGGCTCGTGCTGGATGGGGGTCGGGCTGCGGCATGGGTTCCCCTGGGCGGGACGGAGGTTCCTATGGACTGAGTAGCGTACGCACCTGAAGGCATCGTGGGGGCATTGGCTTTCAGGCAGCTGGGGCTTGTGCAGGGGACAGTCCCATGACACTTACCAATGACTGGCCTGAGCGTACGCCGTGTGCCAGACGCTGTGTTAGACGCGTTATAGTTACTGTCTAGCCCTCCCAGCAACCCCAGGAGGTAAGATCTATCATAATATGCCCATGTTCCAGACAGGGAAACCCAGGCGTAGAAGTTAACCAACTTGTTCAAAGTCAGCACAGATGGTCAGCAGTGGGGGATTCGAACTTGTGGATGTTTGGCCTAAGAGCTGATCCCCCTATCTCTGCTCCTTTAAAAGCCCGGAGTTGGTTCCCCTCAGCTAATAGTCTGGCGCGTCCAGATTTCGTTTTAGTTCTCGACCTTGGATAAACGCTGTAGGGAGGGAGGAGCGAACCGTGACTTCCTATTGGCACCCGACTCTCCCTCCACTACTCCCATCGCTGGGGCCAGCAGCGACTTCTTTTTCTCAGGCAGCAATGGAGCTCCCCCTGTTGTAGCTACATTCTGCTTGTGAAACTGATAGCTGATTTATTTCATAATAGTGAAGAGCTTTCAGGCCAGGTGCATTGCTTTGCTATCCTCGCAACTGGCCTATTATGTTAGGTTGATGTCATGTTAATTTGTTAAGGACGTACTATATGGTTGTGCTGAGAATAGTAGTTACCGCAGCAAACCCATATGGGAAGTAACGCTGTTACCCCGGACGTGACCTTTCAGAGTTTTAAAGGAATAATTTAAGGCAGGGTGAGAAATAGTCAAAAGCTGAAGCAATTTGAGAATTATGTTAGGGAGTTTTTGTATTTTAGGTTAATCTCTGCTTTCTTTAGCAGTTCACTTAGGGTACGAAAAGCCTTATTGAGAATGATGAAAACTTTTAAATCAGATATTTCAAGATGGCGTGGTTTTGATTTAGAACTTCGTAGGTGTATTAAAAGTGCAAATATCATTGCACTTAAGGCATTGCAAGAAAACTGAGAGTTTAATTCACTTTAAGTGGGAAACTCTAAAGGTTCCCTCTTTGCCTTCACCATTTTTACACTGCATATTATGTATGACCAAGAATTCCCAGCACATAATTTTAAAAAATTATCTACTTGTGCGCATATACGTAACTTCTACGTATGTCACCTACCTCAAATAAGCTGTTATTTACCCTTGCACGTTCGTGGCTATTTTGTTCAGGAAATCTAAAGTTACAAATTTTGATTAAAAAAAAAATCAGAATGGTCTACCAGAGTTGCTGAGTTTAAACCCATCAAAGTCTGCTTTTACACTTTGACTACACATGGTGCACCTCCACCAGTAGTTCATTTGACATCATGTGATGGATCAAAATAATATTGAGGTCAGAATTTTGAGTTTTGGTCTTTACTCTCTGTATTAGTCATTAATTGAAATGGCGTATATTTTTTGTAGCACATGATTCGGGAGTTACCTTTTGTGACATGGATGAATCTGCGTTGACCCTTGGCACAATAGATGTTTCTTATCTGCCAAATTCATCAGAATACAGTGTTGGTCGATGTAAGCATGCAAATGAGGAATGGGTAAGTTTAATATAGGTTAGAAGCATTCAACCTAAAGATGTTTGTTTCAGTATTGTTTATGAAGGTAGCTGGAAGCGACATAGTATCAAATAGAGGTTAATAGTTAAAGAGACTTCCTCCAGCTGTTAGAAGATCTGTTTATGGAGCCTAATATTTAAACATTCTTCAGGTTGTTAATTGGGAAGAAGAAATTGGGTGGGATATTTAAGCACAGTGATTGTGTTAAAAAGCAAAATACTTTGCAAAGAAAAAAGAACCTACTAGGAGTTGTTTTGGGTAGTATACTTCTACAGATACTTTCTGTGTCTATTTTCTGTAATAAGTATGAATCTTGTCATGGAAATAAGCGTTTTTAAAAAGATGAAAATGGGAAATTTAGTATGAAAATCAATTCAAAGGACTTGCATTGTGTATTTTTTTTCTATTTTGACATAATAGGGCATGTTTAAAATATTTCTTGAACACTATCTACTTTATATAAAAAATGATGGGAAGTTTTGGGATTTTTTTTACTTATTTTTGCGAATGTTGTTATCAGTGGGATATGAGCAACGAATGAGCAAGTTGTTATACACAGCTTAAAATATTTTACTTTGAATAAAAAACAAGGTAAACTTACATAACATTCCTTTAGCCTGACAACAGAGTTTAAAGTTTAAATCATAGAGTTTAAATCCTAGCTGTATGTATTGTCCAATTAGAGTCAAATTCTGCTCCTCTGTTCTAAACATTTTGCTCATCGAGTTCATTAGCTCATCATATCCCAAAGCTAAGGCTTTGTACTACTTTTGTGGGAGTCTGTGGTTGAAGAGGAACAAGATTAACTGTTAGCATATGGATCCGGGAGTCTGGTTTTATTCATCCTGCTGCTTTCACGGGCTTTTTAACCTTGCTCAACCTTGCTGGCTACTACTGTTCTTAGGTTCTCAAATTTTGCTTATGTTCCAAGATTTGTTTCAAGTGTTGATGATGCAGGGGATTAGAACCATGAAGGAAAATCACTCTGAGAAACTTACTACCAAACAAAACCTAAGTCTAGGTTTCTCTTATATCTGAAATATCTTAGTTTTCGAGATCAGGTGGACAAATACGGTTCTTTTGCCATTCAAACACTTTTTCCCCCATTAACATTTTTTAGGGTGAGTGTGGTTTCAGACCTACTGTCTTCAGATCTGCAACCTTAAAGTGGAAAGAAAGCCTAATGAGCCGAAAAAGGCCATTTGTAGGAAGATGTTGTTATTCCTGTACTCCTCAGAGCTGGGTAAGAATGTTACTACTTGTTGACCTTTAATAAACAGAGTGAAATTCCAACTTTGTGTGAATTTTATTATTGGATAGTCTTAATGAACTTAATTCATTTTTTGAACTTCAGCCCATATTTATAAACCAAATATTCCAAATAGTGATGTCGACTCAGTTTTTTTTTCCATTCATTTACTCAGTAAATAGTGGTCAAACAGTTGATGCTAAGTGATAATTTGGTTCTTTTTTAGTTTAGTTTGTTTGTTTTTTTAAGATTTTATTTATTTGAGAGAGAGAATGGGAACACACTTGAAAGAGGGAGAGAGGACGAGGAGGGAGAAAGCAGGGGGAGAAGCAGACTCCCTGCTTAGCAGGGAGGCCAACAACAAAGGTCAATTTTTTCAGTTTAGTATGACTTCAGAAGAGCAGATCTTACTTTTTAGATCAGTCTTCTTTTTTCATTTTTTATTTTTAAGTTCAATTAGCCAATGCATAGTACATCATTCGTTTTTGGTGTGGTGTGCAGTGATTCATTAGGTGCTTAACACCCAGCGCTCATCAATTGCATGACTTCCTTAATTCTAAAGAGTTGGTGGGAACCTTTGTATAACTTCTAGATGTTGAACTTTCTTTTTTTCTTTGAAAAGATTTTATTTATTTATTTGACAGAGATCACAAGTACGCAGAGAGGCAAGCAGAGAGAAAAAGGGGGAAGCGATTCCCCCATGAGCAGAGAGCCCGATGCGGGGCTTGATCCCAGCATCGATCTGGGATCATGACCTGAGCCGAAGGCAGAGGCTTTAACCCACTGAGCCGCCCAGGTGCCCCTAGATATTGAACTTTTGACTCATGGTTAAAATCCTAGTGAGATGAGCAAGAGATAGCAGGACAGAGTGAAGTTTTAAAGCTGTGACTTTGCCCCACTCTCCTTTTCCTCAGTTTCTGTTAGGGGGGGATGGATAGGGAGGGTGGGTGTCTGTTGACTGTGATGGTGAGGGTTGGTTACTAAAATCTTAGGATGGGGGTGCCTGGGTGGCTCAGTCAGATAGGTATCTGACTCCTGATTTCTGCTCAGGCCATGATCTCAGGGTTATGAGATGGAGCTGTGCATGGAAGGGGCTCTGTGCTCGGCATGGAGTCTGTGGGGTGTGCTTCTCTCTTAAGATTCTCTCTTACTCTCTTCTCCCCACCCAAACTAAATAAAATCTTTTTAAAACATAAAATAAGGGGTGCCTGGATGGCTGAGTCCCTTAAGCATCTGCCTTTCGCAGATGCGAAAGGTATCTGACTCCTGATTTCTGCTCAGGTCATGATCTCAGGGTTCTGGGATCGATTTCCAAGTCGAATCTACTTTTCCCTCTCCCTCTGCCTCTCCCGCCTGCTCGTACTTGCTCAAACACACACACACTTTCTCTCCCTCTCAAATAAAATCTTTAAAAAATAAAATGTTAGGATGAAGATTTTAAATAGAACATGTATAGATTTGTTTGTATTTTGGTGAAATAAACACATGTCATGCAAAATCTTCCACATTACAGTGTTGTATTTGAGAAGAGTCAGTTGGGTGGAAGGCAAGCCTCTGCTGGTAATTTGCTAGGGGGATGAGTTAGCCAAGGAATGTAGAATCAAATTTGGCTGTGTTCTTGGGCAGTAGAGTTACCCTTTAAAAGGTATACCTGGATGTTAATGCTTTCTCTGGGATGGGCCGGTTATCAGGACAGAAATTCCGCCATTTGAGTGCCTTTCACTTATAGACATTATATGACCTGTGTGGATAGCTAACCGTGCTGTGTGAATTTTCTACTCAGGGTCGGGTTGGCAGGAGGTAGAATTCTGAGTGCTATAAAGGGATTCACTGACTTGGGAAAGATTTGTGTGGGACCCAAGCAATTTATGTTAAATATTCTGGTCTGCTCAAGAATGTCTAAATTATAAATATTGTTCCTTTTAAATCACAAGTGTCTTGTTGTGGGAATTTGGTAGAATTGAATGACCACGATATTTCTAGTCTAAGAATAAAGCCAGTTCAGATTAGTAGGCCAGTAGAAATACAATTTTTTTTTTAAAGATTTTATTTATTTGACACACAGAGATCACAAGTAAGTAGAGAGGGGGGAAGCAGGCTCCCACTGAGCAGAGAGCCGGATGTGGGGCTCGATCCCAGGACCCTGAGATCTTGACCTGAGCTGAAGGCAGAGGCTCAACCTACTGAGCCACCCAGGCGTCCTGACTCTGATGTGTCCTTAAATCAGGAGAGAGTATAGGAAATTATCTGGTGGTGGTAGTGGTGGCAGGGGTGTTTTAGGGTGGGCACAGAGGAGTTGTATAATAAATGATTTTTTGTTTAAATACAGTACCTGATGGGGTTGAACTTGATCTTAAAGTTCTTTCATGACATGTTTATTTATAATAATTTTAAACAGGACTTTCGTAGTAATTTTTTGATATTTGCTACCCTTTCCCCTTCTCTGATATCCTGTTTCCTCATCTTTAAAGAGATTCCACGTAAATATTTCTACATCTTCTATTGAAGGGACATTATGCTTTCGCAGGATTTATTTGTGGAATGTTCACCTTTTTGTCCATACTGATAAAACTACAGACTTTCTCTTTCCAGAAGAGCTATCTCTGAGTTATCCTTTAAGGTTTCCTGTAAAGAGAGTGACCTTTAGCCATACATTTTCCAATTCAGTAAACAGTCGTTTTAGAGAAATAAAGACCATACTTTTTCGACCAAGATATAAATTTGAATATTAAAACTGCCCTCAGCCTCAATTTTCCTGTCTATAAAATGAGGATGATAATTATTGTGTCAGGATTATTGCTATATTTAATAACCTAATGATAACTACATGGTACTTAGCATGCTATTTTTGCATTTGGAGAGCACTGAAAACTCCAGTATTCCCATCAATGATTTAATAAGCTCTCTGTAGCTTCAACTCTTTTGGGTTAGAGGTAGGGAGTGAGGCAGGAAAGGGAGGCAAAATTTGCTTTGCAAGGTGGTAAGCCTTATTTCTGAATTTTTGACCTTCTTTGAAGACTAAAAAATACTTTTCAATAAAACATAATTTTTCTTCATCTCTTAGATTTTTTTTTTAAAGCAGTCCTTAACTTTTTACTTAATAAAAGTTATCCAGTAATGTGAGCTCTTCACCAGCCATCCGGTCATATACTCATGTCTACATTTATTTTGTTTCATGTAGGATAAATTTTTCAACTCCAGTATCCCATCTTTGGGTTTGCGGAATGTTATTTATATCAATGAAACTCACACAAGGTAAAAAGAAATTTCTTTTATTTCTAATACATCACAAAAGAATAACTATAATAATCAGTGGCTATACTCTAAGAGGAATTTCTTCATCTTTTTGAGAATTAATAGAATTGAGTTTCTGACACAAGAGGTGTTATCTAAAAATCAGAAGCAGCACAGCCCCCTGAGAGATCAGTTACTATTACTACTATGTAATTATATAGTAATTATTTCATGAGAGTGTAGATATCACTTATAGCTTTCTCTTTTTATTTGCATATTGATTTTATATCTGAAGTGTGCCAAAACGTGATAAAGATTTATCTGAGGAAAGGGTAAGTTCAAATGTCTTATGATCTATTATTATTATTTTATGCTTAAAAATTGAAATCAGCCTAATCTATGGAGTTTTAGAAGATGTGTCCCTGTAGTGAGTAAATGTTTTTTTTCATTTAATTACTAGCTTAAGGCTTTCTTTAGAATTCTTCCAGACATCAGGCACTTGGGAATGGGCTGTTAGGCATCCCAGTGAGAGAAAAGAGGCTTTGTTTTATGTGAATCTAGGCTAAGGGATAACGGATGGGGGAGGGGAGGTTGTATGAATGTCTGTGAGGCAGGAGAGAATGACAGCCAAAAATACTGCCTGTTCTTATAATTAATTCTAAGAGTGAATGCCTGGAAAAGGTCAGTGGTAGCTTCAGGTGATGAGACATGCTTGAAATTTTGTGAAAATTGATCCAAGAAGTCAAATACTTAAATTTGAAGGCTTTCTGCTATTACTGATCATATTTTGGTGATGAGATCATAAGTGAGTCTGACAATACCTGCATATAACAGGTTTTTTTTTTTTTTAATAGAACCAAAGTCAAAGGACTTACGTTTTCGTATTCCCATGCTACCCTTCTCTCTCTGTCTTAAATTTAAAGGAGAGAAGGGAAATTCTAGCCCCCTGATTTTTTTCCCCCTTTTTTGACTTAAGAACCTAAGAAAAGGGATCTCATAGAGTGTCTTCTTGTTTATGTAAGTAGCCATTTTATGCATGAAGCCACAGGGTCCATTTCTTGTCCGTAGTTGAAGGCCGCTAGGAAAACAAAGCCAGCACTGTACGGTCTAGGTGATCTGAAACCAGTCCGAGTGACGAGCTGCCCTGTGTAGCTGAGCTGGCTACTTTGCTTCTCTGTGTGTCACATGAAGCAAAGCCTAGATAATTTGCCGCACACGTACACAGCTTTCAATCCATTGCAAATGGATTTCATGGAGAGCTGGGACTTCACACATTCCAGTAACCATTGTGAAAGTGTTCACTCAAGGAAGAATTTAGAATTAAACAATTAACATAGTGGGTCAAGTTTGCAGAGAATTGAGTCAAGGGAAAGGAGGTAGAAAAAGAGAATGTCAGGAAAAGAGATGAAGGAACTAGTGATTCATCAATAGTTCTTCCCCCAATTACTTTTCCTTAACTGAAGGCTTTTCAAAATTCATGAATTTATATTTGAAATCTGTCCATTTGAATGTCTTTATGGGTGAAATGATAATGAGGCATTACGTAATCATTATAAATGTTTTCAAATAATTGCATATGAAGGTTTGTGACATTGTTATTCTGAGGTCTCTGTCCCCAAGCCCCCATATAAATAACGTAGTTATCAAAACCAATAGAATAGGTCCTATCCATTAGATATGTCAAATGTTGGGGGGAAGAATGCAAGAACTTCTGGCTTCATAAGCCCAGTGTACAAACGTTTAGACCATGCTTTAGTTATCCTTGACTCCTCTCAACTAATCAGCTTTGTCAATTCAATATGAGAGTCAGTGATGACCTTAGATTAAAAAAAAAAAATTACCTTTAATAAAAAAATTGGCCCTTCATTAGGAAAGACTTCTGAATGCTCTCTTTATAGTTCATAGCCCTAAGTTATATAGCTTATGTGTATAGCATTCAACATACTTGCTTTTAAAAAAAGTATTAATAAAATAAGACATTTTTCTTTCTTTTGCTTTTATGTTTGGTTAATTATTTGGCAGAGTAACACCTTTCAAACATTATAGTACACAGATTCCAAGTTTAAGTTTTAGTTGAGAGTACCTGAAAGATAAAAGGAATACAATTGTCTGCATAGATCATCCTGAACTACTAAGGAAATTTGGTACAGGAGAACACCAAATTTCAGGAATAGATGAAACAAGGCTTTGCTTTTACAGCGGGGGAAACTGCTGAACAAGTCATTCAATTTGTTTTAGGTCTTCCTAGACTACTTCTGTGCTAAATCTTTTTCACGTTGCAGGCACCGAGGATGGCTTGCAAGACGTCTTTCCTACGTGCTTTTTGTTCAAGAGCGAGATGTCCATAAAGGCATGTTTGCCACCAATGTGGCTGAAAATGTACTGAACAGCACTAGGTAAGGGTGGGGATACTGTTAAAAAGGGAAGAAACAGGGATGAGGGGGGCAGGAGAGGGAGTAGGGTAGGAATTGCCTTCCTTTATTAACCTTTAGTTTCTCTGGGACTCTGTTTCAAGAGGATTCCCGTTTCCAAATGTTAAATGTTAAACTTCAAAGGAAAGCAAGGAAAAGTAGGAGAACAGATGGTTTTGGGAAAAGCAATCTTGTTTTATGCATTAGCGATTGAATGGAGTTGGTGAGTTGGAATTCAGAGATGCACATATTTCCAGTTCTCTGTAAAGTTTTCTGTAATATGAATGTTTGGGACATTGTGTTTCCTGTCATTACAGCCAAAAGAGAAACACATTTGATATTTCTGTCAAATAGTTATTGAGTACCTAGGCACAAATTCTTGTGCTAGGAAATCCTTACTAGAAATTTTAAGAGAATAAGATTCTGTCCTATCTCGCAGATTAGCTTGCTTACAAGTGGGAGAGTTTTCTGACTTGAACTCACGTGGAGTGGGGAAATAAATCATTCTCAAGTTTAGGCGCTGGGCTCTGGGAGTTGGCATGAAGATCAGTCTCTGATCTGCCTCATTAGTGTTGCCATGGTAGATGTCTACCTGGATTTGGGGAGCCAGAGGCCGGAGTGGTTTGAAAGACTGCTTAGAAATGGAGGCCCTGTAGTGTGGCTGTTGAGGCCTGAACAGTGGTGGCATATAGTAGGTGCTCAATAAATATTTATTGAATGAATGAATAAATAGTCAATAATGGAGATTTAATAATCTTTTCAATTACTTGTAAAAAATTCCTGTCCAGATTGAAATAAAGGTATTAAAAGAATAAGCCTAGGGTGCATCAGTGTCCAGTAGAATAGTCTTTTGTATTAATGACTTAGGGAGCTATGTAGGGTTTTGCTGTGTGCTGGTCTAAAATCAGTAGCAACAGAGGGAGAAAACGTAATTATTTGAAACCCTTTGGGTTATCATATATTCTGTTTTCTAGGTAAAAACCTCCAACTGTTTCATTCCATCCAGATGTTTTGACTAGTAACTAGGATATTAAATGATTTAAGGAGGTTTAACCTCATGTGTTCTTCCCTAAGTCATATGGAAAATTTACAAAACTAGATTAAATCTTACCTCTTCACTGCTTATTGCTCTGTGTTGTTTTATCTTGAGATGTGCCTTTCTTAAATTACAGGGTTGATATGGGAAAACACGTGTAAATATTTATGCCCCTCTTTGATCCTTTCTAAAGAGTTTTACATAATCATTCTATTAATAAAGTCACCATAAATGAGTAATGCATTAGGTCTTTAAAAGAAAAATCACACCTTACTTTGGCAGTGGATTTTGGTTAGATACCTCTGAGTTATATACCTAAACGAGTAACTTTTCATTCTCTCCCCTCTGCTAGAGTGTAACTTTGTATCTCCTGCAGAATATCTGGAACATTCAAATTCATGTAGCCATTACCCAGTGAATTTGAGTTAAAAAAATTTTTTTTTTTTTTCTTAAAGCTGCCTTCCAGATTCCTCAGGGATTCACTGGTTTAGGAATATAGTATCCTTAGTATTTATCAGGCCACCAAACAAAACATATCTAACTTGAGCTTATTTTCATGTTAATCACATATTAAGAAAACATATTTCATTTTGTGGTTTATAGCTATGATTTAGAAAATACTGAATGCAGAATGTAGCATAGAGCCACTTACATTGTCTTTCTGTTTTCCAATCAGAGTACAAGAGGCAATTGCAGAAGTGGCTGCTGAACTAAACCCTGATGGTTCTGCTCAGCAGCAATCAAAAGCCATCAGTAAAGTGAGAAAGAAAGCCAAAAGGATCCTTCAAGAGATGGTTGCCACTGTCTCACCAACGATGATCAGGTATTTGAAGGCAAAACAAAAAGCTTTCAGTGATACCCATCCTGTTCTGAGCAAACAGGGACTGAACCATTGGACTTCCCTAGCACAATGGTTTTGGTCCAGAGGAAGTTTGGACATATTCTGATGTTAAAATTCCTTTTTATTTTATTTATTTTTAAAAATTTTTAGAAGATTTTATTTATGAGAGAGGGAGAGAGAGATCATGAGAAGTGGAGAAGGGTAGAGGGAGAAGCAGACTCCCCGCTGAGCAGGGAGCCCAGTGTGGGACTTGATCCCATACGGGACTGGATCCCATGCAGGACTTGATCCCAGAACCCTGAGCTGAAGGCAGACACTGAGCTGAAGTTGAAGGCAGACACTTAACCGACTGAGGCACCCAGGTGCCCCAAATTCCTTTTTATATTCTTGTTCAGCTTCTGTGGGAAGTAGCCCTATGGTAGGCTTTAAGGTGCCTTAATCTTTCTTAATTGATAGCAGCCATTGTATGACTGCTGATATCTCTCTAGACTTGTGAGCTAGACTTCACATATCCATATCTTTTTTTTTTTTTTTAAAGATTTCATTTATTTACTTGACAGAGAGATCACAAGTAGGCAGAGAGGCAGGCAGAGAGAGAGAGGAGGAAGCAGGCTTCTCGCTGAGCAGAGAGCTCGATGCGGGGCTCGATCCCAGGACCCTGGGATCGTGACCTGAGCTGAAGGCAGAGGCTTAACCCACTGAGCCACCCAGGCGCCCCCACATATCCATATTTTAAATGGAGTGGTTTTATACTGCTTTCTGCTCGCCTAAATATTCGGTTGATGATGGTTGATGATTTACTTCTGAAGTGTAAAGTGTGCTGTTTGAGTGAAATGTAAGATTTTAGTTTGTAATAAATAGGTAAATACAAATGTAAGATTTTAATCTGTAATAAATACATGTATCTATGAGGATGCATGTGAAAGTCAGCTCTTTAATCCAGTAGTTCAGGTACACAGACATACACACACACTAAGTTACTTAAAAGCGCTTTTAGGTTGAAGGTTCAGAAACTTAAGTAGACAAAAGTCAGCTCTCTCTAAATGTATGTATGTACATTTAATTTCTTTTTCTTTTTCATTTTTTTTTTTTTTTAACTTTTCAGATTGACGGGATGGGTGTTACTCAAGCTGTTCAACAGCTTCTTTTGGAATATTCAGATTCACAAAGGCCAACTGGAGATGGTTAAAGCTGCAACTGAGGCAAGAATTTGTGTGATCTGTCATTCTGTTGTTCCCACGTTTCTGGAGTGAATTTAGAGTTCTTTTGTGTGGAAGTGTTCTCTTGTGTCCTGTGTGCATCCATCCTATTTGGAAGATTTCCCCCATATGACAGGTGCACAGTAGCTGGGCATTTGGGGAAGGGTGAGTAAAGGAGGACCCACCAGTAGTGTGCTGGATTCCTTTTGTAAGTTACCGCAGTAACTCTTGAAATTAACTAGAACAGTTGGTATTTACAAATGAAGAAGTAAAAGCACAGATAGGTTAAGCTTTCCCAGTCATGGCTAGTGAGTGACTGCCCAGGATTTCAAGCCAGACCAAGCTTGACTTTTAAACTCTCTGCCCTTTTAATGTGATCAGGGCTGTCCCTCAGAAGATACATAAAGGCTACTTCAATTCTTGGTTCCCCAGCTCTTTTTTATTCTTTATTGTGGTGGTGGTTGTTTTCAGCGAAGGAAGTATTAAATTGGAAGAAGTTCATATTACTGGAAAATGTTTTTAAAGAATGAGTCATTGATCAGCCAGTGTTTGAGAGATTCTAACCAAAAAGGAAGTTGCAAAGTGTGATTGAAGTTCACATTTGAATTTTAAATTTGGCATTTTTTCTTTTACTAGATGAATTTGCCACTTATATTTCTACCAGTTCACAGATCACATATTGACTATCTCCTGCTGACTTTCATTCTCTTCTGCCATAACATCAAAGCACCGTACATTGCTTCAGGCAACAATCTTAACATTCCCATCTTCAGGTAAGACCAGTTTATTTGGAAATTTAAGGTATGGAAAAGATTATATTTTGAATTTTTGGTGTTTTCTTTATACATTTTGAAACATCGTAAAGATGACATTAGCTTTTTTTTTGTTTTCATTGTAAAAGTAATGTTCATTGTGAAAAATCTAAAAGGTACCAAAAGCATTAAAACTACCTCCGTTATTTTTATATTTTATGAGGGTTACTTGGTGAACTGTGAATACTTCAACTTCATGGGCAATATTTACCAAATGGCTAAAAGGCAGTTAGAAAGACAAGATAGCAAATTACTGTGTCAGGCGTGGCAGTAGGGAAGGTGAGGGTCTGGTATGGGTCACTGTGGCAGCAAAGAGTAAGTAAGAACAACCATACTGTTAACTCTGACCTAATAACTGAGTAGCGCTAGAAATATGTCACCACTATAACATGACAAAAAAGTGTATTTCAGAGGTTTTCAGGAGAATGCAGTGCATTCCTTTCAGAGGAAATAGTAGGTAGAGAGGCCGAGAGATTCAAATGCATGGTACGGTCAGGAAACGGCAGATGATTCCGTATGGTTAGAATGCGGGATGCAGTGGGAAGGGTCAGAGGCTAGAAGTGGTCATTGCATAGGGTATGAGAGCTGGTTCAGAACAGTTTTTAAGCCAAGAGTTTAGAGTGTATCCCATCGTTGAAAAATGGTCAGCTTTGCATTTTGAAAAGTCATTCTGCATTGGAAGGTGTTAGAGATATTCTGACTCTATTATAGCAGCTGAGGCAAAAGATAATGAAGGCTTAGATTAAAATCTGTAGAGATGCTCCTGGTGAGGAAAGCGTAGAGTGGGAAAGTGTTTAGTAAGTTGAGTTTATAAGACGAAATGCTAGTCCAGAGACGGGGAGATGCGGGAGGAAGGGAGCTGGGTAGATAGAGGGGCTGATCACCAGCGGGGAGTGGGTGAGGCGTAGATTGAGGTGGTTGGAGACATCGAAGGTTCAAATTCCAAAGCACAGAGCAGCTGTGACGTCAGCTCTGAGCAGTAGGGAGTACGAGGAGGATGGATTTACAGTAACTGGAGGGCGAGTGGACTGGAGGGGTGTGCACGTAAGGTCTCGCAAAGTGGCCATGATGACTTGTGTGTGCCATGAAGTCTGAGCCTCAGCCTCACATTCCAAGGAGCTCCTTCCTAACCCACTGGCTCAGAGCTCTGCGGATACCCAGACTCATGGGGAGGGCTGAAGGGAAGGCATTGGTTCGTATAGTCAGCTGATACTTACCCTGCTGTGCTTCAGGCAAGAGTGAAGGAGTTACGTAGTCTTTGCCTTCAACTAGTTCGTAATCTGGGGACTATAGACAAACAGCTATAATGCAGTGCAATATGCCCCTATGGGGCAGACATGCTTCTCTAGGGACGAGAATAACTGTGTTTACGCTCCTGGGGGCCTCTTCCCAATACTGGGGAAACTGGGAAGTTGCATTAGAAAGTCACCAGACAGTTGGTAGCAGGCATAGACTTAGAGCCAAGAGGACCATTCCTTTCGGGCTTTAGGGAGGTCCTGCCCCATAATGTAATAGTTTGCCTTTCCTGTCATCAGAATGACTCCTGTACTCATTCCCTCCAGGTTCTCAGCTTACAAGTGCTTCTGGAGGGATCACTTTGAAATGGATGTTAAAAATCGATAATTTCTCATAACACTTCCCTTTTCATGAGCTCTGTGCCAGTCGGTGCTTAGCTCATCCGTCCTTCAGATGTGACAGTTGATGACCTGGCCTGTTTGTTGGCAGCTGTCTTTTCAACCCACTTTTCAGTTTCTGTGGAAGGTTCAGCTCATTCATTATGAACTTTTCTGTAGTTCTGCTCTCAGAGAGTGATAGAAGATACTGAAATTATATAGCGATATGATATTAATACCACTCTATGTGAAAAGCATAAGAGGAGGCTCTGAGTTTGGAAAGGTTGCCTTAAGTATTATAAAGTTTCATCTCAATATCAAAACCTGTCACTGTCATAGAAAGAACCATGGGATTGAAAAAAATCATTTTATCCCTGTGTACATGCACATTGAAGCACATTTTTTTTTCATGTTTTGGGGAAATGGTTATGCTTGGTTTTGGTTTGATAAAATTATCCTTGTCTCAGAGACACTGTCTAATGGTACTTTCTTGAGAAAATTTCCCCAAAGGACCTTTTGTAACATCATATTCGTTTTGTAGTAAACGCAAAAGGCAGATTTCAGGATGTCTTACAATCAGTGTCCTGAGATCCTGGACAGTTTTAAAATTTAGCAGTATTTCATCATCCTCTTAAAATCTGTAACCCCACCTTTGCAGGGTGATATATTGTACAGACTTCTTTCAGTTTGGAACACACATTAGTAGAGCTTCAGTGCATGAGGTGATGTTCTAAAGGCTGATGAGTGATGCAAATGATGGAAACATATCAGTAACATGGAGAATGGAGAAATGGTGACATTTTCACTGTCAGCAACTCAAACAACACATGTGGTTTATATTCCTGTGGCTTATGTTTTGACGTAACTTGGAATTTGAGTATTCTTACATTTTTCTTTATAAATAAATGATGCATTCTTCAATTTATAGTACCTTGATCCATAAGCTTGGGGGGTTTTTCATACGACGGAGGCTGGATGAAACGCCAGATGGACGGAAGGACATTCTCTACAGAGCTTTGCTCCATGGGGTATGTACGGTCTTTCGTCATCCTTAAAGCCGTTATAGTAGTTACCATAGTAGAAAGAAAAACAGACTTGACTGAGATTTAAGAAAGAAATAAACCTTATTGTCTATGTAATTATTATTTGGGTAGGAAGTTGATGATTATTTCCTTTATCACCGAAACATAGCATTGGAGGAGCTGGCTTGCTATTATTCACGTTGAGTAAAATATTTTGTCAGTGGTGAAGTTAACAGGTTTTTGTTTAAGATTTAACTTTGCTGAGCTTATTCTAAGGAGGGAGGTCTTGCATTCCAGCTTATGCTAAGTTGGGCACTCTCGAATTCATGGTTTACATTCTCCTTATACTCCAGCATATAGTTGAACTACTTCGACAGCAGCAGTTCTTGGAGATTTTTCTGGAAGGCACGCGCTCTAGGAGTGGAAAAACCTCCTGTGCTCGGGCAGGACTTTTGTCAGTCGTGGTAGATACTCTGTCTACTAATACCATCCCAGACATCTTGATAATACCTGTTGGAATCTCCTATGATCGTATTATTGAAGGTCACTACAATGGCGAACAGCTGGTAAGAGCACTGCCTTCCCAAACATCTTCTCCATTTTCAAGTTGTTTTGCTTTTAGAATTTGCTTTTGGAATCAACGAGGTATTTTTAAGACAATTTAAAGCACTGTAGGAAGCATGGCAGAGTGGGCATGGTGAGTAGCATCTGTCTCTTGTGTCCGTCTGATTGGTAGTGCTGATGTGGCGTTTTCCTGCACATCTTCTATATCCATTCATCTGTCAGTAGAACGTGGTCTGCTTCCATACTTTGGCTGGTGTAAATAATGCTGCTGTAAACATGGGGTGCATGTAACCCTTTGAACTAGTGTTTTTGTATTTTGGGGGTAAATACCCAGTAGTGTGATTATGGGATTGTAGGGTAGTTGTGTTTAATTTTTTGAGGAACCTCTGTGCTGTGTTCCACATTGGCGGCACTAGTTTGCATTTCCGCTAGTGGTGCAAGAGGGGTCCTTTTTCTCCCCCATCTTTGAAAGATTTGTTTCTTATGTTTTTGATGCTTAACGTTCCGACAGGTGTTGTATCTCGTTGTAGTTTTGATTCGCATTTCCCTGATGACATGTCTGTGGGTATCTGTATGTCTTTTATGGAGAACTATCTGTTCATGTCTTCTGCCCATTTTTAAAAAAGATTTACTTATTAATTTATTTGAGAGTGAGAAGGTGCATGGAGGGGGCTTGGGGAGGGAAAGAAGAAGAGGGAGAATCTCAAGCCGACTCTGCACTGAACATGGACACCGATGTGGGGCTTGACCTTATGACCCCAAGATCATGACCTGATCCGAAACCAAGAATCGGATGCCTAACTGACTGTAGCACCCAGGGACCCCTGCCCATTTTTAATTGGATTATTTATTTTTTTGGGGTTGAGTTGTTTTAGTTCTTTATGCTTTACATACTAACACTTTATTCTTTTTGTTGTGTATGTAGTTGGCAGATATCTTCTCCCATGCAGTAGGTTGTCTTTTAGTTTGGTTGAATGTTTCCTTTGCTATGCAGAAACTTTTTATTTTCATGTAGTCTTAATAGTTTATTTTTGCTTTTATTTCCCTTGTCTTGAGACATATCTAGAAAAATGTTGCTATGCGGTGTCAGAGAAATTACTGCCTATGCTCCCGTAAAGGACTTTTTATGGTTTCAGGTCTCATGTTTAGGTCTTTAATCCATTTTGAGTTTATTTTTGTGTATGGTGTAAGAAAGTGGTACAGTTTCGTTCTTTTGCATATAGCTGTCCAGTTTTACCTTCGCCATTTGTTGAAGAGAGTCTTTTACCCATCGCACATTCTTGCCCCCTTTGTTGAAGAGTAATTGACCAAATAATTGTGGGTTTATTTCTGGACTTTCTGTTCCATGGATCTGTGTGTCTGTTTTTGTGCCAGTATCATAGTTTGCAGTGATTTTTTGTGAATGGCATAAACTGTGGACTAAGTGAATTAATGTAAAGTGTTCTGGTTTTCACTGACCAAACTGCCTCTCCCAATAAGAAGCTTACATCTTTTAGCATTTTTGCACGCTAAACATTTTATGACAGGTCTCAGTCAATGAATATTTTTCTTCTTTATTTAGTGTTGTCCTTTATTTAGTGTTTTTCTTTACACAAACCTCCAGCTTCCATTAAAAAAATAAATGGCAGGTGCCTGGGTGGCTCAGTCAGTTAAGCATCTGGGTCTTGGCTTCGGCTCGGGTCATGATCTCAGTGTGGTGAAACTGAGCCCTGCGTCACCGGCTGGGGAGTCCGCTAGAGATTCTGTCCCCCTCCATGTGTCTTCCCCACACAGGCTCTCTCTTTCTCAAATCAATCAATCAATCAATCAATCAATAAATGTGTTTTTTTTGGATAACAGAATACCCGTTAGCTGTGTTTCTTACCATGCTATTCTTTCAAAATTGGAATTTAGGGAAAACCCAAGAAGAATGAGAGCCTTTGGAGTGTAGCTAGAGGAGTTATCAGAATGTTACGAAAAAACTATGGCTGTGTCAGAGTGGATTTTGCACAACCATTTTCCTTAAAGGTGAGTATCTGTTGGAAGGAAGCAGTGTTACAGCATTGGCAAGCTCTGGTTGGAAGATGTGGGCTCCGTTCCTGCCTCTGCTGCCTCCTCTCCGTGTGACCTTGGTTTCTTCTCTGAAGACTATGTCAAGAATAGCATTTCCTAAATTTTCCTACCAAAGTATGCCTACTGACAGAGGATAGTATATGTCTGTCTTTGGGAGCAGCCAGGGTCAGCATTTGTTGCTGTCGTTTCTTTTTTAGTTGATGAGAATTCTGCATATTGCTTTATGATGTATGTCGGTATTTTATATTATATTTTAAAATTCCCTTTAGGGAAAATTTTGTAAAACTTACCCCTAAAATCTGGGTAACATTGACTGTCTAGGATGATGTTCTCCTGAGTGGAATCCACACGCACACATTTAAAGGGAGAGCGCTATTCTTGTGCAGAAGCCTGGCACTGGGGGTTCCCTGAGGTCCTGGCAGTTTTGAATTCCCAAGATTTTCAAATTTGTGAAGGAGAAGGATGAGTAAGGGAATCGGGAGCCCGTGATAAGGAGCAGAGGTCCTACTTTTCCTTTTGTTCCATTCTTAGTTTTACTTCTAAGATCCTAACTGCCATGCTACATGCTTTCTGGTCTTCCATGCTTTCCACTTTGAGGAGCCTCGTCATTTCTTACCACTTCATCTTTTTCAAAACTACCGCACAACTTCTCTATATTGTTATGATTTGCTTTTGGATTGAGGTTCTTTTGAATATTATGTGACCCTCAGGTCGTCAGAGTTCCTTTGAAAAGCATGGTTGTGTTGCTTCTTACTATATTGGGAATGTCAGATAATTTTGTGTAGATGTGAGAAAAGTTAAGTGTTTTCATTTAACTTTTAAATAATTTTGTTTAAGGGATGCCTGACTGGCTCAGTTGGTAGAGCACGTGGCTCTTGATATTGGGGTTGTGAGTTCAAGCCCCACGTTGGGTGTGGAGCCTGCTTAAAAAAGAAAAATTTTAAAACTTAAAAGAATTAAAAAAAATACATAATTTTGCTTAAGCATCATTGTCTCATCTTTTGTGTCATCATCAGTCCTTAGATTTCATGCTTGCCAAAATTCCGGGAGTCGTTTTGCACTTCTGAAGGTAGTTTAGGATGTAGAAAGTACTCCTGCTCTGTAGCATGGCTCATTTTATAAAGTGCTCCCTTTTTACTGTTTGAAGATTGAATTACATTTAATATACATAAGCAAAACAGGGAGAGTTAATGACTGTGTTGTGTTCCCCCTCCCCTCCACCCTCCCCAGGAGTATTTAGAAAGCCAAAGTCAGAAACCTGTGTCTGCTCCACTCTCTCTGGAGCAAGCCTTGTTACCAGCTATAATTCCTTTAAGGTAAGATCTGTGGAAATTTTTTATACTAACTACACTGTCAGATACCTGTTATTTCTGGCATTGCGGAGAAAACTAGGTTAAGTTTATGAAGAGTGGGCTCCTTCTCGTCTGCACTTCCTCACTTTGGGTAACTTTTCTCTTGGTCTGATAGAGGACAGTGAAGTGACAACATTTTCATATCAGTCTGGAGGTTTTTGATTATTTGCGTTATAACATCTTTTTGATTGTATGAATCAGGAGTTCTTATTGGATTTATGCTTTTGGATGTTGGAACTAAATTCCTTCTGGTAGTAGCTTAGGTTACGCATATTGTATGTAAGTGTAGCATATAAAAGAGTTTTCCCGTGTACGTTTCCCAGAATTCGAGTTAAATTGTAACTTAGAGAAATTAAATATTAAGCCCCTCCCCTAATGTGTTCAGGTATCAAATTTTTAGAAATGTTTTAAAATGAGGTATCTTGCTTCATGCAGTTTTTTCGGCTCGTGGCTTTTTGGAGGTGATGTACCAATAGATTATTTGGTCCTAATTCAAGAAAATCTTTTGGTCAGCAGAGTGTATTAAATATAATAATGTATATCATGGAGGAAAATAATGCATTGAAATAATCTATTTGCGCTTTACATTCAGAATATGTAGTAATTGAAAGTATTTAAGACATTTATACCTTAGTTCTAGGTAGTTTGCTTCTAAAAGAATGTGGTTGTAGAGTCTAATTAAAAAAAATCTTTTCAGACCCAGTGACGCTGCGGACAAAGATGCAGACACATCCACGAACGAGTCCAGAAATGTAACAGATGAACCCTTCCGAAGAAGACTGATTGCAAATCTGGCCGAGCACATCCTCTTCAGTGAGTACAATACCAAACCCTTTAGTTCTGCAGCCCAGATCCAGCATGACGCGGGCCACACACCCTGGGTTTGGAATCTGCTGGAGTTCGCTTCTGCTGCTTCACCTCCGACGGTGGTGATGGGAGGGTGTTAGAGGGTGATGCCTGCGGGGGTGGGGGTTTGAAGTAAGCAAGTGAAACATCACACACGGCGCCTGAGAACTCAGAGCCACTCATAGGGTCAGTCTTATGCTTTTTAAACAAATAGTCCTGTCAGAATGATTTATTGCCTCTGCTGTTCATGAATTTGTTTCTCTGAACTAATGAGTGGTGTGGCATCTAGGTTTATAGTTGTGTGTCCATTTTCCTGCTGACCCCACGATTATTTTTATCCAGCACATATCGAGGGGCTGTTATGTATGTGTAAAGCTTCGTTTCAGTTGTGGGGACTACCCAGGGAAGAGCTGGCAGTTCCGTCTGAGCTCACGCTTGTCTGGGTGGCGTAGCTGGGCACAGGGAATCCAAGCGGAAGTGAGCCAGAGCAGAGCAAGTTGTGCGCAGAATTCGCTTTCTCTGAGCCCCAAATGCCAACACGTGTCATGTCATAGAATCTGCTTCAAAATCGCGTGGCAGTGGCTGGCACCTTGGTGCACAGCCCAGGTGGGCTGTCCTTGCCGTCCCCTGTTCCTCACTCCCAGGCTGGCCAAACTCTCCGCACTTGCTGGCGACCCCATCGTGGGGACATCTCACCTCCTCTGGCTCCTGCCCCTCCAGCTGCTCCTGCTCCCGCTTCACGGGAGGTCGGGGTGTTCTTCCTTAAAAGCACCTCTGTTTGTTTCTCTCTACCCAGGTAACAGGAGTGTGGCTGTCTGGTCTCTAGAAGTGTTTTTTTACGGTTTTTGTGTTGCACTGTTTTCCATTTATAACACAAACATTCATTCATGTTTTTAAAAAACTATAAGTATTCTTCTTAATGGCTATGAATATGGTACTTGGTTCTGTTTTTCATTTTTTTAAACACTGGAGACAATACTCAATGTGAGTGAAATATTCATGAATTCATTATCATCTCAGAAAATTCACACATGGTGTGTTTATTTCAGATTATTCCTTAGATGTTCTCGTATTTGATTCATATGATTATAATTTTCTACAAATTCCGAGTATTGGGTTATGGACTACAGTACTTCTCAAATGTGTTTCTGTCCTCTCTCTTCCATACCTCCAACCTGGTCATTTCCTCCTCAGCCCAGTGAACGACACAGCATTTTCATCTTACCAGTGAGGAAGCTGCGGCATGGGGGTTGAAGTCTTTTCCCCCAAGTTATGAAATTAGGCCACGTAGAAATCAGATTTGAGCCCACATTTTCTGCCTTTAGATCGGCTAGCCCTTCTCCCACTGTGCCTCTGTCCTCGGGTGATGGGGACTCTACCCACAGGAGAGAGCAGTCGGGGTAAAGCCAGAGCCTGGAGCCAGGAGTGATCCCAGAAACATGGAACTGGGAGAAGTGGGAGATCCCATAGAACTGCCAGAACAGCTTCTATGTTGGGTCTTAGTATTTCCAGGAAAGTGTCTGTTGGCCATTGAGTGACTAAATTCCACTGGCCTGTTTGGAAAGCGGAGTGTCTTAGGCTGGATACTGGTACACGATGCTGATGATCTCTAATGAGGATCTGCTGGCCAGAACGTGGGATACTGTTGTTGTTTCCCTTCCGTAAATTCTAGTTACAGGAAATGTGGTAGAAGTAGAGGTATTTATAGTTGTAAATACTCCCATTTCAGATTTAGGTACTTTTGGAGACTTTCCACTGTATTAAAAAAAGGGAACCTAAAGTTCTGTGCTTGCCTTCCAGCTGCTAGCAAGTCCTGTGCCATTATGTCCACACACATCGTGGCCTGTCTGCTCCTCTACAGACACCGGCAGGTACGTCTGCCGTGTCCCTGCGGTCATGGGGGAGGTGTGCGAACGCCGTGTCAGCCGGTCAGCTACTTGGTCACAAACGGACGTGGTCCTCTCCTGGCTTCTGCTTTAGAGATAAGCAGTAAAGGAAGCCAAGCACCCTGCCCACAGGGGCTTACAGATCTGATGGAGGAATCTACGTGAAAAAAACTCCAAGACTGCGTCACATAGACAACAGGAGGACATTCTTGGAGTCCTACAGTTCACGTAAATAAGGCCTATTGCGTTGATGTGCAGTAAGAGTTCTGACAGCTGATGACAGCTCTTGGACTTGTATTTCGGGCCATATTCCCTTCATGAACTTGACTAAGTACTGGGATGGAAAAGACTGTATCTGTGCCATCCACAGTTATGTTCTCAATAACAAACGTAGTGTCTACGTGTGTGTATACACACGTATGTATACATATACATATAATATACATATTACATATATGTGTGGGCACGATGTGAGTAGTTGTCAGATAAATATTTAAAATGAGGGAAATCGGGCACCTGGGTGGCTCAGTCAGTTAAGTGTCTGCTTTAGGCTCAGGTCATGATCTCAGGGTCCTGGGGTCAAGCCCCACATCAGGCTCCTTGCTCAGCAGGGAGCCTACTTCTCCCTTTCCCTGCTTGTGCCCTCTCTCTCTCTTTCTCTCTCTCTCTCTCTCTCAAATAAAATCATTAAAAATATATATAAAACAAGGGGAATTACTGCTAAAACATAAGCATTTCTAACTTTTAGATGGCTTCTTCCGCCCTGTGTAATCTTAGATGCTCCTGTCACATGTTGTGACCAAAGCATTCTTTGGACATGAATATCTTGACTTTCTGAGGACCAGCTTTTTCACCAGTTTTCTGACATCCTGTGCCCTAATACTCTGGCCTTTTTACTCTCTGTGCCAAAAGCGGGCTGCTGGAAAGCCACGGCAGGAAATAAAATCCTCGGAATGGCTTCTTGGCCTCTTGGGAGGCAGGTTTTCCACTGTCATGAGACCATTTATGTCTGTTTCTCCAGGGCATTGATCTCTCCACATTGGTGGAGGACTTCTTTGTGATAAAGGAGGAAGTCCTGGCTCGTGATTTTGACTTGGGCTTCTCAGGGAACTCAGAAGATGTCGTCATGCACGCCATACAGCTGCTGGGAAATTGTGTCACCATCACCCACACCAGCAGGAACGATGAATTTTTTATTACCCCCAGCACAACTATCCCGTCGGTCTTTGAACTCAACTTCTACAGCAATGGCGTGCTCCACGTCTTCATCATGGAGGCCATCATAGGTATGGCCTGCCCTGCAGCAGCTTCACGGGAGGGAGAAGGGCCTAAAGCACATGGTAGTGTCTGTTGACTGCGATGATCGCCCCTCGTTGGAAGGGGATGTGTTGCTGTAGTTTTCGTTTTCAAATGCAAGTGTAATCTGCTGTATCACTCTAGCTTATTTTTTACACTTACTTGTCAACGAGTGGTTACTGAATTACCGTTGGCCTAGTATTACACTTAGTCCGAGGAGGGGAGGGAAGGTGTTTGGCTGTCAGGAGCTGGGAGTCTGAGCGAGACGACAAAGCGCGCATGGCAGTGAAGTGAGTGTAGGGGGTGAAGAGGGAACAGGGGAGGCCGAGCGGGCGGGACCGAAGCCCCTGAGGAAGGGGTTAGAGGGAGCTAGGATCACATGGAATCCTGAGGATTGAATCCTGAAGGGATGTACTGACATTTTTCTCCAGTGAATGCAGGTAATTCTCTTTGATGTATTCACGATCTATTCAGGTAATCCACGTTTTCTGAGCCAGCTGAAGTTCTCTTAGAGGAAAGGCTGTGGGCTTCACTGATGCTTTTCTCTCCTTAGCCTGCAGCCTTTATGCCGTTCTGAACAAGAGGGGCTCCGGGGGGCCTGCGGGGCCGTCCCCCAGCTTGATCAGCCAGGAGCAGCTGGTGCGGAAGGCCGCCAGCCTGTGCTACCTCCTCTCTAACGAAGGCACCATATCACTCGTAAGTGAAGGCTCCTTCACTTACGAAGGAGTGTGACCTCTTGTCTTTTTCTTGAGAATTTTTACAAAATTTTCATGAAAACATAAGCCACCTGTGTTTTTCTCTCAGACAGCGTTTGGTCTGTTACTGAGGCTGTACCTTCTACTCCTGAGTCTCAGTGACTCTCGGGCCAATATCTTGCTTGCTGTCTTTGTTTGCCGCTGGGGTCACTGCTCCAGTGAACCCTTCATGTGGTTGTGAGGCGCGACAGGACTGATTCCTCAACATTCTCCAGAGTCAGATCCAAAGTTACTGCGCTCTTACTGTACGGAAGGCACTGGGTCAGAGGCCTGTAAATAGTTAACATGCCCAGAAGATAGGAGCCAGAAAACAGTCTTAAAAATCATCTGTTCAACCCCTTGTCACTTTACAAATGGGAAAACTAAGGCCCAGCAGGACCGATGAGCATTTATTTGTATTCAAGCACTTTTAGACATTCATAATGAGGCATACGTATTAAGCAATAGATTCTTTTCCCTCAAAATCATCAACAAATAGTATTCATATTCTACTTAAAGTGTAATACTCTCTCCCACTTATTTGAATGTGTCCGGGGACATTTGTGCATAATTGTGCATAATTGTTTTGTGAGGATGACCCTCCACAGCGTTCTTTGCATGTGGTATATTGTCGCCCTGCTGGGGAATCTGTTTTGCATGAGCCTTGAGGGGCAGGGCGGGATGGGGTGGGTGGATACACCTCCCAAGATTGACCTTGTCCTTTTCCTGGGTCATTTTTGAGTTATTTGAATATTTGTTCCCTCCTTCACCACCGCTACACACAGTGTTTATGGTAAGGCAGCATTTGCAGAGAAATTGTCTTACGGAGGAAGAGAAGTCAGCGGCAGCAGGGCCCGTGAGCAGTCCTTCTGAGGGCTTGCCCCCGGCGGGGGAGACTTAGCTCAGGGTGCCCGTGCGGGTGGAGCCACGTTGGGCGCTCTGCCAGACACAGAATGAGGGCTCTTCTTGGGCATTGCCCTTGACCATGCATTCATCAAGAGGGTGGGCCTTGGGAATCTTAGGACTTAACCAGTCGAACGAGGTAGCTGATACGGAAGCATTTGGCAGTTACCTTGTACAGCAGTTTTCTGTCTATAAAAAGGTCTGTGATGGGGCGCTTGGGTGGCTCAGTCCATTAAGCACCTGCCTTTGGCTCAGGTCATGATCCCAGGGTCCTGGGATTGAGCTCTGTGTCGGGCTCCCTGCTCAGCAGGGAGCCTGCTTCTCCATCTCTCTCTGCCCCTCCCTGTGCCCACTTGTGCTTTCTTTCTCTCTCAAATAAACAAAACCTTAAAATAAGTAAATAGATAAATAAAAGGTCAGTGACATTTTTATTTAAATGCCTTTTCTTCCCAGCCCTGCCAGACATTTCACCAAATTTGCCATGAAACAGTAGGAAGGTTTATCCAGTATGGCATTCTCATAGTGGCAGAGGTAAGAGGACTGGCTTGCCTTCATTTGCCTTTATTTGGTGTGCTCTTCCTTATCTTTTCTACCAATTATTTTAACCAGTGTTACAACCGATTATTTTAGCCAATAATTACATTTGGCATGTAGTCAAGTCCACATGAAGAGAAAAGTAAGAAAAGGGAGAGTAAACACCTTTGGGGATTATTTTCAGTATTTTGGTTACTTTTGTGTAACTGGTATTGTCTAGAACATATCTTAACTCTGTGACACCTGAAAGTTTTCATTCCAAGAGCTGATTTACATATCTGTGTGCTTGTAGCTTGCATACACACAGTTTTCTCTTTTGAGATTCTAATTTTTACTGATTTAGTGTAGTAAGTACGCCTGGGAAGGTAGATGTCGCCTTCCAGGGCATCTTTATTTGCCCTGTCTGGTAGCTCCCCTCGCTACCTCTTCCTTTCCTCCTTTCCTTCCGCACTGTGGGTCGAGTGACTCTGAGTTTGGAGGCAGAGGTGGGTTGACACCGTGAATGGCTAACAGAGAGTAGGGAGGCAGGGTGAGGGGCTGCTGGCCCGACGCCAGCCTCGCGAATGCTCGTGCGCCCGCACATGTCTGTTTCCTGTTCGCCATCTCTTTGGCCTAGCAAGATGACCAGGAAGACATTAGTCCTGGTCTTGCCGAGCAGCAGTGGGACAAGAAGCTTCCTGAGCCCTTGTCTTGGAGAAGCGACGACGAAGATGAAGACAGTGATTTTGGTGAGGAGCAGCGAGATTGCTTCCTGAAGGTACTTTGGTGAAAGGCTCTGGCGGGCGCTGCAGGGAGGAGTTGAGGTTTTTGTTGTCCCGAGTTGACGAGGTTCTTAGAAACTGAGCCTCTGCCGACTTACTCACATTTCTGGCCCCCACGAACCGACTGGGTTAATAATAAAGACACTCAAACGTTTGAGGGGAGTGAGTACCCCCGTTGCTCAGTTTGGGCGCAGGTAATGGAAAAGGACACAGAGTGCAAATTCGGGAAGGTGAACCTCATGAGAGACCCTTCCCGACCCTCTCATCGCCGTCCCAGGGTGCAAACCTGTTTGCCTACACCTACACTCCCTCCCGAAGAGGCAGGACTGTGTTCAGTCCTCACTGAGCCCAGGGAGCAGCTGCCGGGGAAAAGGGGAGAAAGAGAAGAAGGGGAAGGAGAGGGATCCCTCCCTCCCTCAGCGGCCACAGCCCACGGCTCTTTCCGAGTCCTGCTCGGTCTTGCCAGCCCTCCCCGGATGGCATACGTTGAACCCTTTGCCTTCAGTTAAAACAAATCCCGTCACAGGAGAAACTTTAGATTTTTTAAAAGATGGATTGTCCTTGATTTGTCATTTTGCAAGTTAATAATGACTCATTTTTTCTGAATACCTTAAGTGGATTAGTCTGTAACACCCCTGATTTACACAACACACACACACACACACACACACACACACACACACACTCAGGAGGTGTCACTTCTGGAGAGTCCACCTGGCCTTTTTGGGTATGAACAGCTGTGAGTTGAGGCAGTTGTCTTGCGGCCATTCCGCAGAGGGGCTGATCCGAGTGTGCCTGTTTTGGGTGGGGGCAGTGAGAGCCCCCTCTGCCACCCGGCACCCCGTCACACTACTGTCACACCCCACTGTGCCAGGAAGTGGGCCAAAGGCCAGGTGGGGTGACAGCAAGTGAGTGCTGGGGAAGACTGAGGTGACCTTGGTGGTCTTGCCACGTGTCTTCTTTCACACTCGAGTGAAACCTGGGAGGGTCCGGCCTGGGGACCCGCTGTGTTCAGTGATGACAGTGTGTCATTCAGGTGTGCCGGTTTCTTCCGGGCAGCCGTTCAGTGACTGCAAACCTCAAGCACTGTCGAAAACAGTGACTCCCATAAAGAACCCGTTGCACAGCCAGGGGCCTTTCCAGCAGAGGGTCTGTGGCCACGGAGCGGTGGGCCGCTCTGTGCGGAAGGTGCTGCGTCAGCGGGCTTGTTCTCTCCTTCTCTGTGACCTCGTGCCCTGGCCTTGCACCCCCAGGTGAGCCAGTCCAAGGAGCACCAGCAGTTCATCACCTTCTTGCAGAGGCTCCTCGGGCCCTTGCTGGAGGCCTACAGCTCTGCCGCCATCTTCATCCACAACTTCAGTGGTCCGGTCCCCGAGCCCGAGTACCTGCAGAGGCTGCACAAGTACCTGGTGGCCAGGACGGAGAGGCGCGTCGCCGTGTATGGTAGGCCTGTCCCCGCTCCGGCCCCTTGTACGATCTGAGCCTTTCTGGATGACAGGAATCTGCTTGTGTAGGCCACTGGGAAAAAGTGCAAAATTAGCCCAACCGCTAACTTCGTAGGCTCCCATTCTCGTCTGTTTCAGGATGTTCTAGAAGTGGAACGAAGCAGTTCTATACTCTTGGGTGTGGCTTTTTTTCACTTAACTTGATAAGTGGAGTCCTGCGTGTTTGTGCGTGTGCTTGTGTGTGTACTCCTGTTGCTTTAGAGTGTTCCCCCATATCACTGTTTACGGCATCCGACGTGTGACCCTCGTTGACGGCTGGGGGGGCGGGGAGCCTGCACTCGAGAGCCGCGGTGGCTGGTGCAGCCGTGAACGTGCTTGAACGCGCCGGCGCGACCCTGTGCCCTCTTTGCGCTGGGCCGCGTGTAGAAGTAGCAGGCCTTTGCGCGTGGGCCCTGCGGGGGGCTCCTGGGGGGGTGCCATTCTGCACCCCAGCAGCGGCGTGTTTCCAGGGCTCCACGTCCGGCTTGTGCTCGGTCGTGTCTGCGTGATGAGAGGTGCGACCGGGTGGGAGCAGTGTTTCTATGCAGTGGTGGCTTAGGACTGAAACTGCTTGCAATCAAGACATTTTAGAGCCAGAAGGGATCTCGAGATAATTTCTCTCTAGACATCTCTCCATACCCATATAGACCCCTGGAGTTCTGGATTTCTCTCTAGATAGCTGTCGTAGCTCCCACAGCTAGTGAATGGGCACACCCGGCTGCAGGGCTCTTTTCTCTGACCTCTAGGTTTGTGCTCTCTCCAGCTCTGCTGGTTAAGGTCTCCTCCGTGCTTCACTGTGTAGCCGAACAGAATTTCTACCCACGGTCTTGTTCGCTTCTCTCAAAAACAGTTCAAGACGGGTGTTGTAGGGGTTTCTCCTTCTCTTCCTTTCTCTCATTTCCTCCCTCCTTCTCTCTCTCTTTTCTTCTTGCTCTTTTGGTCTTAAAAGAGGACAGAATAAGTTTAAAGAAACAGTGGATCCTTTGAGACCTCCCAGGTTGCCAGTGGTAGGGGTGGCACTGGACCCCAGTCTGCTGACTGGTTCAGATCCTCTCCAGGACCTCCCACACTTTCTTACTGTGGATGTTGGGGGTTTCGTGTTTGCCGGGCCTCAGCTTTTCACAAGGTCTTATCCTTTCTCTGCAGCTGAGAGTGCCACTTACTGCCTTGTGAAGAATGCTGTGAAAATGTTTAAGGATATCGGGGTGAGTTCCCACTGCTTATGGTAGGAAGGCACGTGTTAACTTCTCTTTCTGCTCAGACCTGGTCTGTTTGAGCCACCTGCATTTGGGGTGGGCTCTGAAAAAGCAGTTTCTGCTGGACTGATCATGACCACATTTCTGGGGATTGGGAGGGTGACAGGCTTATAGAAAGTGGGACACACCAGTACAGATTTATTTGAATGTTCCAGAATTTTCCTGGTTTTCACCTTCATCCCCAAGCTGTTTATATATAACAAGTGGCAGTCCATTTCAACATGCTACTACAATTTTCAGCAGGGATGTTAGTTATGTCATAGGATTTTCAGTTACTGTGTTTCTACCGGTATTGCTGGAAGTTTCTTCTGGTGTACTGTACTCCATGTGTCATACATGACAGGAGTTACTTGGAGGTACTAATGGCCTTTGTAAGGAACTCTTTGTGACTTTATTCTAACACAGATTTTAAGGTATAGTATGCTGATTGGACTCTACCCAAAAGAAACCCATCACACCTGCATCCATAACCCTCCTCATGAACCCCCACACATCCATTTATTTAAAACCAGGATACAGTGTTAGGTGCCTTGACTGCTTTTTGGGTCTAGAACAAAGGTCAGGGTTGGTGACAGAAATATCTTCTTGTTTTGATTTGTCTTTAATTTCAACTTTCTCTCTAGGTTTTCAAAGAGACCAAACAAAAGAGAGTGTCTGTTTTAGAACTCAGCAGCACGTTTCTACCTCAGTGCAACCGGCAAAAACTCCTAGAGTACATTCTGAGTTTCGTGGTGCTGTAGGTTAGTCCTGGCACCTCTGGCAAGTGGAGGGTATCCGATGAGTCCCTCGCAGGCTCCAGCCTCTGGCTCGAGAGCTGAAGGTGCCGACATGTGGACAGGCCTGCCCTGTCCTGCTGTGACGTGCTGGAAGACAAGTGCCTTCCCCTCCGCGGGGCTGTGCTTACCCCCTCCTCCGATATGACACAGCAGCCTCCGTGGATGCTCGGGGGCCCCCAGCCTCCGCTTGCAACTCATCGTCAGTAGGTGACGCAATGAAATCTCAAAAAATTATTTTGGAATTTATTAAAGATTTCCCTTTTAAGTATCACCGTTAAGGACTAAATTACTGTGATGGGCACAAAAATGTAGATTCATTCTAGAACCGAATCTTACATAATATACTTAATACTGTCGGATAATTTGTCGATACATTTTCTGATTAATGGTTAATGCTTCCTTTAAACATAATTGAGTCATCCATTCACTGGTTTTCTTTTCTTTTTTTTTTTTTTTTGGTTTTATCTTCATCAATAGTAGCTAATTTTAAAGGGGACACCTTTCATCCAAAGTGCTTTACAAATGAATGGGCTGATCTAGATCACACCCAGGTATCACTGTGCTGTCCTTCGCAGTCAGATTTAGAAAGTGTTTGACAAGCTACACGAAAACACAATATTAGTTTAGGTCAGAAATAGAGCTAATGTGATCAAACAGTTCACATCAGGAGGTAGATTTGGCTGGCAGAGTTCAAGGTGAACTTGGCCAGAACACTGACTTTGAACTTTTGCTCATATAAAAAAGTGCCATGAGTTTTAAATGACCAGCAAGTATTTAGGAATGACACCTGTTTTATGTCCTTACCCCTTCTCACCCCTCGGGTGGCAACCTGCCTCTCCTGGGTACAAAACAGCAACTGTCCTAACTTGACTAGCCTGATAGACTGTGCGGGCGGAAAGTGCTGTGGCTAGAGGCTGCTGACCCAGGGCTCTCATGTACTGTGTATAGGTTGTGCACTACACCCAGTCTGCGTGACTGGTGCCCACTCAAGTTGTGTGGTGCGCAACCTGTGCCACGTGTGTGGTAGCCCAATTGACTGCTCCGTGGTTGGAGGCAGTTACAAATTTTTAGCTGTGAGGGAAAACCATGTTTTTTTTTTTTTAAATGTGTATGGTTATATGCCTAAACCCTAATGCCACATGGTGGCAAATTATGATGAAAATTGTCTGTTCATAATGGGTAGGTGCCTTCGTAGGAGCAGGGAGCATTACTGTCCATTGTGGTAACTGTGGTGATTTCATAAAGATCATGTGATATTAAAACATTTTCTGACAGCTTACTGTTTCTTCTCTCCAATGGTATTATGGAATTAGGAATTTTTCCTGGTGAATATTGCATAGAGTCTTTGATTTGGAAGTACTGAGAATTAAGTTTGTACTTTCAGAAGCTTGGACTTGAAACACTAATGGCGTCTCATGAATATCCCATGTGTGTTGGGAGAAGGAAGGGGACTGACCGGTACTTCACGTCGTATGAAAGATCTCGTCTGAAACTCATAGCAATAATGCTGTGCTGTCATGAGCTTTTTCCAGTCTTCTCAGATTCTGTGTTTTAAAATCTATTTGTTCTTTGTAGGAATTCATGTACCCTTAGCCATTGTCAGTGTTGTTGTGGCTCTGGTGTGGAGCAGGGTCCCCGCCTGGTAGTGCTCTGTTGTACTAACGGGGATGGAGGAACACTTCTTCTGTTGGCTGGAGCCATGCATGTGGGGGACACCCAGGGAGACTTACTTATCCCCACGGTATTCTTTTTCTGGGCGGCAGTCACTGCACTAGTCTCTCTCATTCTCCCTCTAAATTATAGATCAAGGATTGCTCAAGCTCTCTCTGAGTTACCTGGGAAGTCAAGGCTGGGACTGATTTTGAGTGGACTCTGCTGCCTGGCCTGTGACTTCTGCTAAGGGCTGCTGTGCTAGCCTGAGCAGGGAACAATGGCTTCTCTGGCTTCATTTTTCTTTTCAGTTGGTTTGTTTCTAGAAATGTAATCAGATGCTTTGGAGAATGCAATATATGATTTGCTAGCTCTCTCGCAACTTAACTCACTGTGAGAATAAATATGCATGCTTTTTGTAATTAACTGGTGCTTTGAAAACCTTTTTTAAGGAAGAAAAAATCTCAACCAAAGTTATGCTCATCCCGACAAGCTGACCCTGAGTTAATTTTAGCACAACTCATTCTTCAGTGCCTCATTACTGAAAAAAAACATACATCATCACAGTAAGGCTTCCAGATAGCACTGTTTTGCTTAAAGATTTATTCTCACTGTTTTCCAAAAGCGAATGGCTTCCGTGTAAGATTATACAAACTAGGTGCTTGTAAATAATTTATTACAGTTTACTCTACTGCATTTCTCTAAAACTGAAATGCATGCCCTCCAGGGGAAGACTGTGAGTCAAATTAAAACAAACAAACAAAAAAAAACAAAATCCAATAATAAGCAATATGAATCTGCACGCTTTCCAACTGAGGATGTCCTAAGTGATTTCAGAAAAGAGGAAGGATTTTTTTTGTTCCCTTAAATTTCAAGAAAAGCAAAGGGAAGGAACTTGTGTGAGACGTGTAGAACTCGTAGCACAGAACTAGTAACTCCTTAGTCTGCCTTCTCAGATCTGTTCAGTCTCTTGAAGTCATGAGGATAAGTAGAGAAAATACATCAGGGATTTCCATGAATGTAAACTCAGATTAGGGAACTTCCAGGCACCTGAAGGGGAAAAGCATTTCCCATGGTTCTCCACGTAATCTGAGTGCTCTGTGAGATGTTCATGGGTGTTTCGTGGAGGTGTTGCTGGTAAAATAAATGTGTACGTGGATCCCCTTGTTTTAGAAACTCACAGTGCACTCTAGCATGGCGTGGGCTCAGGCTGTGCTGGTCCCAGGCCTGTTCAATGCAGCATTTCCAAACTGTTGGGATGCCAGGACCTCTTTCCCCCTTGGCATCCCTATGAACCTCTCACTAGTGTGCCATGGAAAACAATTTGGGAAACACTATGTTAGGTAGTTCTCTAAGGGGACAAACCAATGCAGAATGCTAGGGAGGCAGAATTTGCATGCATTTTGTACAATCACCTATTAGAGTTAGTTGGATGTATGTTCTCCCCCTGAGACGATAAGCACAGAAAACTCTAATACAGGCGGTCAGGTCTCTTTCCGTTGATGGAGAGATCAGCCGTCCATGATCCTGGGTTTTCCCCTGAAAGTAATAAAGTTAACACAAGGATTAATTGGGGTAAATAATTAAGATTTTAATTCAGATCTAGAGGAAAATATTGCACAACTGAATGCAGATTTTTATCCACAAATAGTTCTAGTGTTTAGATATGATTAAGACCTATCATTGAAGTTTATAAGACTTAATTTGGATGTAATCTGTTTTTTAAAACGCTCTTTTTAGGAACTTGAGACTTGGCATCTGGTGTTCTAGTTTAATACAAACTAATGATTGCATTTGAAAGAATTTTGACTTTATTTCTAAACATCTAGAGCTCTGAAATGCCTTGATGGAAGGTGTTATTTTCCTGTTGTACAAAGAAATGTTAGATTGTTGTAAAAAGAATTACTATAAAGTACTGTGAAATAATACTGCGTGATTTTGTGAGCGAAACTTATTTGGAAACGTTGTTTGATTTTTATGCCTGTTAATGTATTGTAAGAAGCACAGAAGTGTAGTTTTGTTTTAATAAATCCAAGAAATGAATATATTCTTGATGTCTTGCATTTGTAATTAAAAGTTCCCAACATAATTCATTAGATAAACAATTGTTCCTATTTGATTTTACATAAAACTTCATTAAAATGCTTATAGGAGATAATCTTACATAAATGTATGAGCCTGCCGTGCATGGTGTTATTACTGACCCGTAGCTCTCCAAATTTGATCAAGCATTTGCTCGACTTAGTACATATTCTCATTACAGAGATACACTTGGAGTTTCTGTAAAGATTCCTTTAAACTTGGTGCTTCTGTCATATTCTTATGTACTAAAGTGTTGGGTTATTTTCCACTAGTTCATAATAGTTGCTCAAAAAATATTGACCTTTTTTTTGACAAGTAAGGCAAGTATTTTCTTACAGCACTATTTTCTGTGGATCCTTCAAAATCACTCAGTGCAGCCTTCTCAAGAGCGTGCCCTCTGCTGTCCATGTCCTTTGGGTACGTAACGTGGCTGTGAACCCGATATTCAAGACCATCCCATCTGTTCTCCACCAGACCCTCTATCTGAACTTTGTACTTTCCCCCTCTGGTTTGCTCTGGAAGAATGTTGCTAGGATTATGTCCTTGCCCTTCTGTGCATTCATATCTTCATTTGCATTAGCAACTCCCTTGCTGTGGCCAAATGTGACCTTCCCTTTATCATACCAAATTCCATTTTTTACAACCACTCACTCTAAGTGGATGTTCTTTTTGCAGGCTAATCTCTTAATGTTCAGTTCAGTGCCCACTCATTTTAGTCTTGTTTGTTCCTTTTTTTAACACCTTGCAGTCTGTCTCCTACACACATAGCTAGTAAAATTCTTATGTCCCTCCTTGACAAATACAAAGGGGTTTTACTAATTGCTGCCCATAGCACCTGCGATGTCCATACTGCAGCCTGGCCTCTCTGAGATGCTGCTTCTGTCCTTCCAGTTTCCTTGGCTCTCCAGTATTCTGTCTCCTTCAGGACTCCACCTTCTCCAGCTCTTTTTTTTTTTGCCTCCCACTCTTTATCAGATGGTCCTGGTATTGTTGCTGGAGACTCTGAGTTAAAAAACGTCAATTCTGTCTGAAATCTGTTTTTTATATGAAAGTACCCAACTTTTACAACAAACGATGTGATCACGTACAATGGCTTGCTGGGCCGTTTCTGGCTTGTCAGTGGCCAGTTTATGCCTTCTGGCCTGGGAGAAAACAGCTATGAAAGCACCAGTTCTAGATGTCCCTTCCAGGAGTCAGAGCACAATCCATTGTTGGGAGGTTGACCTTGTTCATTTGAGGTAAGCAGGGATGAAGTCTCAAAGCAAAGCTCTGATGATGACCACTGGGTAATGTTTAACCAGGCAGGCAACGGGCATCCGTGTCAACCTTTGATGTCTGGCTCATTGCTGTGGCCACATCAAGGAAAGGGTATGTCAAAACAAGTCAGGGTTGCCACTGTTGGTGGCCTTGGTGCTAGTGACAAAGCTACGTCTGGCAGGAAGTGATGACAATAAGTGCACAAGCTCAATTTCCAGCCTTTTGGGAAAATGTCCTGCCACGTTCACATTACAGGTCAGTTGAAAATTAGAAGAGACCCCT